CTGTCCCTTGGCGAGAATATGTGTATGGAATAAATATACTCTACATATGTGCTTGTGAATTTATTGAAGAGATAATAAGGAGAACACATTCTCATACTCATCGATAACCAATAAATAATAATGATACCTCCTTTCAAATAATGACTGAGATCCATCTCACGTTCCAAGCAAATCCTATCAAGAGTAACGATGTACGAACGACACACAATGGCACCATTATCATTATGAACAATGGACAAACGAACGCATTCCACTGTCTATTTGCCTTATCCACTCTTAATATCCTCATTTCATATCCTTTAAATATTCTCAAAACAGTCCCTTCTCTTCGCTTTGATCAAGTCAAACCTCAGAACTTCAGTTCCAATCATCCACTCTCCAACAATATCAACCACCTGGTTTGCCAACTCAGGTACCAATCTCAATATCTTGCTCATAAATGCATATGCTCCAAGTTAATGAACCGATCCATTATTTCGAACAATCTTTCATCACTAAAGTCGAGTATTATCGCGAAATCAAAATGAAAGTACAGAGTTTATTATATTTCTGTGTGCATTTGGCATGCAAATAATTTTTCAACTGCATTTAAGCGCAGTACGCGTGCAGAAGAGTATTTGTTGAAAGACGGATCGATTTTGATCATGGCTCGGTTTCGCGTTTTCTGTTGATCTGATTAGTTGTTTAAAATCACAAGGACAGAATTTAGACTGGTTGGTTAAACGAAATGCAACTGCGCGCAGTATCAGACGCAGTCAAGAGTTTAGCTGATGATGATGCTCATGGAGTGCACGTCAAGGAATTAACCGAACTCGATATGAAACATTTTCGTAGAGTTGCGTTTGTTGCAGTCGCGTTGAGTACGATGACTATGTTGTGCTCTATTATTTTTATGCCTTTATCTTATCAGTACCTACAGAAGGTGCAGAGTACTATGTTCAGTGATATCGACTTTTGTAAGGTTTGTTTTTTTCTTACTGTTATGAATACTTTATTCAAAGGATCGTTTTTGATAACAACTGATTATCAAGAATAAGATGAATGCAGTGTTGATTCAGAGTCGTAATCGCGATTTATGGAATGAAGTTCTAACGGTTCAATTGGCAAAAGGACAAGCACATCGAGCAGTGCGAGCCGCAAAAAGTTCTAATGGGAATGGGAAATGGTTGTTTGGTCGTTTCATCGATGGCGACAATAAGCATGCTCATCAAGCCACATACGGTAACGACAAGCATGCTTACGACGCTGGTTACGATAGTGGCTCTTCACGGTACGGTATGGCTTCTTCTCAGGGTAGTGCCACCAGTGCATCGAGTGCTGTTGCGTGTAAGTTCACCTCAAGGACATCATTCGCAAATACGTTTTAGTCTTAATAATATATTATTCATAGTGATGATCAATAATGGTCTCAGGTTGTCCCCCATGCAAAATCGGACCGCCAGGACCACCAGGAAAACCGGGACCGGATGGAGAGGATGGAAAGGATGGACGCCCAGGTCCAGATGGACCAAATGGGAAAGGTGTTGCGTGGCTTCATCACGAATCCTTATAGATGTCATTTATAACAATCGAATTTTAATGGAACTAACAACATCATTAATTCATTTCAGATGCTCCTATTGATAGTGTTCCAAAGCCATGCATTCGTGAATGCCCTCCAGGCCCTCCAGGTCCACCTGGCAGTCCAGGAGATAAAGGTCCAAAAGGATATCCAGGGGAGGCTGGCGACCCTGGACTACCAGGAAAGCAAGGTGCGCGAGGACCACCCGGTAAACAAGGACCCATCGGACCACCCGGACTTCCAGGTTAACCTCAAATCCACCCGAATTCAGTCCATACTAGCCAACTATCAGTTGGGATATAACTCACCAAATTTCTCGCAAACTGATTTTCAGCATAAAGTGGTTGCGCATACTGATCACTATCACAATTTGTTTAGGTCGTCAAGGTGATAGAGGTGAGTCAGGTAAAAGCCTACCAGGAATAGCACCACCCGGACCTCCAGGTCGAATCGGCGAGATGGGACCGCCNGGCCCACCTGGTGCAAAAGGTAAACCAGGTAAACGAGGACCTACCGGACCACAGGGCGATCCTGGAAATCCAGGTATATTTGTTGTGTGAATGATAGTAATACACATTCACTGATGCAATAATTTCAGGACCATATGGTAAACCAGGTCTGCCGGGACCAGTGGGTCCAGATGGAGCACAGGGAGCAAAAGGAAGTTGTGACCACTGTCCCACCCCACGGCTGCCACCTGGTTATTGATTCATTGAGGTCGCTTACAAACAAATATTTATTATTTCGTGAATATTCGACGTTTTTAAATAGACAATATTTGCTAATGACATATTGATATGCATTCACTATATGTTTATTATTAGCATCCATATCAACTGTATTTATCATCATAGATGCGTTGAATTTTTCATTGTTCGCTCATTTCTTTACTTCAAAATAAACTTTTTCATTGAAATCGGATCATCAAATGTATTAATCCACCTTTACTTAATATAAGCATCGCCGTGAAATGGCACATAATGCGCACTACTGAAAAATTATCTTCGCTCATCGCTAGTTCACCAAAAAAAATATTTCTTCCGCTGAAAACAATACGTCAGTAACACCGTTGTTGAAACAGTAGCGAAAACCTCTCGTAGAAGTGCTACTGAATGGAAAAAATGAAGGTAGTTTTCATTGAAACACTACTCACAATCAGCAAAATCAGTCCGTTAGTCGCCACTTACAAATCTTCTTTCAAAATTTGCAAGCGCGCTGCCGTGAAAAAATCCTATCAAGCCATTAGAGAGGAGAAATTTTTCATTTTCTCCTTCAATGACAAAAAA